TCTTTTTTTTTTTTTTTTTTTTTTTTTTGTTACCAATCAAAGCACTGCTTTTATGATACGTGCCGGGAACCGCACCCCGCATATCATCTTCGAGCTGACCAGCCTTTATTTATTTATTTATTTATTATTATTTTTTTAAGGCTAATTCTTTAAGCCCAACCAATTCAATTACCTGTCAAATCTGGACAGGATGGCCTTTCAGGCCTTTTTTTTATTGTCATTATAGTATTACGGGGAACCCCGTAGCAGCCACATCCGTGCTCAACTTAGCCTCCAACGAGGGAACATGCGTGAGCTGCACCCACCTGCAGGTGCCATACCTGCTACAGCAGGTGGGCGATACCGGCCAGGGGTCAGCCGGTAGCAGCAGTCTCTGCTCAATGCCACTCGGGGGGACCAACGGCTTATCTCTAGGTGGTGGGCGCCAAGCTTGCCCAGGACGGTACATGAGCCCAATGGGGATTGAACCCAAGACCCCCTGAATGCCACTTGCGTGCCTTACCAACTGAGGTAGGCCGCTGGATAGTCTTTAAATTGGGATATACGTGCTTTTAAATTTTCAGAGAGTTATTTTCACTCATCGGATTCCATTGGGATTCGAACTCAGGTCCGCATCTTTTTTTTTTTTTTAGTCAGAAGGCCGCTTCATCTTCTTATCGGTGTATTGATTGATGGGTTGTGGTTAGGATGTCACTGAGAGTTGACACGAAACCAGGGTACGGCTTGAGTTGGATTGATTCAGAAGATGTAAATTAAAAAAAATAATAATAATTAAAAAAAACCTAGTAGGCAATCAGGGCGGTTGGGTACGGCTTGAGTTGGATTGATTCAGAAGATGTAAAACAATAAAAAAAAGGCTATGGATCAGGGCACTTTACAAAGTGGTGGCAACTTTATCAAAGTGTACGGAATGAAAAATGGAGAATAGTGAATCAGAACAAATCCGGTTGGGTATGGCTACCCCGACCAGTTTCGGCCACCGCCTCGTGGCCTTCTTAGCGGCCTGAAGGAATAGGAAAGGGGAAACAAAAAAGAAAAAAAGAAAAAAAGAAAAAGAAAAGGTACCTCGTGAATGGGCTGCCTTCTTCCTCTCCCATCCTCTCCACCTCCTCCCGCCCCATTGGAACTCACTCGAGATTGTCGTGGGCTGAGCTGGCAAATGTTGCTGATGCCAAATATTGCACGCGCGCAAGAGCGAGCAGAGGAGAGAGCGAGCAGGAGAGAGAGAGAGAGAGAGAGAGAGAGAGAGAGAGAGAGAGAGAGAGAGAGAGAGAGAGAGAGAGAGAGAGAGAGAGAATATATAGACATTTAGACCACCGATATGGCAGCGATATGTTTTTTTTTTCCCCATTCGTACTTGCAGATGTCCGTGCCGCATCCATCGTTGAAGTAACACCGGCTTTACTTGCTGATGTCATCATTGAAGTAACAAGTTCTACCAATAAAAGTTATTCCTTCAGTGATTACCGATCACAAGCTCCCAATGTAGGGCATCTCCAGGTAACCAGCACGTCCAATCTTGTGGTCAATCCTAGCAATAGCATTAACAGCATCTACGTGATTGATTGATTGATTGATTGATTGATTCAATTTGATTGATGATAGATCTGCTGTGGTGGTCCCTTGCGGTTTTGCAGCAGAGCATTTTAAGCGAACAGGATCATCATCCAAGTGCTTGCTGAACGTCAAGATACATTTTTGGGGGGATTGTAATACATTTTTGGGGTGATTGTAAGTCCTTGGTGCAGCCAGCTGCAACGGCCGGAGCAGGTGCACCCGCTGTTCTTTTTTTCTGCCGTAGGAAGGAAGGAAGGAAGGCAAGCAGGGAAGGAGAAGGAGAAGGAGAAGGAAAGAAATGGTGTCTGCCCAGAGCATTAAGGTTCTTTCAGGTAAAAATCGTCCTTCTGATTGATGAGTGCATTAAGGTTTCTGCATGCACTTCTGTGCAGTAATTCTTCTGATTTGAGATTTTTGTGTCCAATGTCCAGTTTTTCCCCTGAAATTACGACCGCCTCTCTGTGTGTGTTTTGTGTGTGTGTGTGTGTGTGTGTGTGTGTGTGTGTGTGTGTGTGTGTGTGTGTGTTGTCATGTTCGCTACCTCTGTCTCAACACCTCCATCAACAAGAGGTGAGTCAGGTAAACCTCTCTCTCTCTCTCTCTCTCTCTCTCTCTCTCTCTCTCTCTCTCTCTCTCTCTCTCTCTCTCTCTCTCTCCACTTAGGTCTTGATGACGCTCGACCTCACTCTTCATTTATGCTACGGCTATGGCGGTTGGCGTCTTGGTCTAGCTGTGGCTCTCTTCTCTCCTGATTGGCGCTGTCTTCTTCCTCCCTGGCGCCAGCCTCTCTCCTGCCTCCGAGTGGACCAGCTTTCCAGCTTCCAGCGAAGGCACACGACGGTCTGTAGGAAAGACCTGCAGGCTTTTAGCCTGTAAGCTAAGCTGGATGATGCTTCCAGATATCTGATCTGAACCGAGAAATAATGTAGAGGACCCCGGCCTCTGAATGATTTTATGTAATTGAAACTGAATTTTGAGGGAAAAAAAAAAGAATAAAAAAGAAGCCATGTGACGCAGAATGCATGAGCCCTCGGCAAACACTGCCGAATCAATGTCGGCCCTGAGATATTGCCTCCGACAGTACGAAGAACTGTCGGAAGCATCCATCAATTGGTCCGAATCTGTCTTTCTGCTGCCACATCAGTTCACCCCTGGTGGACTGGGGAATGAAGAGAGTACAAAACGACAGTTCAGAAAGATTCCTTGGTGTACAGGTTGCCCTTTCTTCGTGTGCTATGCGGCAGGAGGAAATACTGCAATCAAGAGTACTGCAGAGAATGTCAACCTGAAGTAGAGCCCCGCACTTGTCACTGTTCGGTCGCGCTTTGGTGATCAACGTGGCCCTTCTCACACTCCTTACGTACTTTGGGAACGTGAGGCCAGTAGGGAAGAAGACGCAAACAGTGGTGAAAAAGAGAGCATCGAAGTTCATTTGGAAGCCGTTCGCAGAGGAGCGGGAGACACCGATGTCCAAGGTAGCCTGGGACCTCATGTGCGCACCAAGGATGGATGGTGGCCTACATAGGACTGGTAGACCCAGGGAAGAGAAACCTGGCCATGTTAGCAAGATGGGTGCTTCGGGCTATAACAACGGAAAATGGCAAGCACTGGATTGGTTTAGGTGAGCGGATATTGGGTAGGGAGTGGAATCTCAGTCGCAAGAAGGATGTATGGGCCTGCGTCTGGGTAGAATCCTTTCTCAGGAGGAGGTTGAAGTCGGAGTTCTGGTGTGCAGTTCTGCAGGCTTGGAGGAAAGTAAAACCAGATACGCTCTGCGAACCGTGTACGAAAGAGGAAGTTCTGTCACAAATCATCTTCGAGAATCCACGAATCAGAGACCCTAGGGGAAACATGCTGATGGCGAACATGGAACCTGGAAGTTTTGGTAGAACGTGGATAGAACGAGGAGTGGTGAGACTGAGAGATCTGTGGAATGAACTCACAGGCTCATGGATCACAGGTGAGGAACTGGAAGAAATTCTGAAACCGGGGAAATACATAAGGCAAAGGAAAAACCAGGTTTTAGAAGCCATCCCTGAGGAATGGCTCCTGATCCTATCCCCGGCACAGCCAAATCCGGTCGGCATTTGGTTTGAGTGGAAGATGGACCAGACCCTGGCTTCTCCACCAGGGTGGAGCTTCTTGAAACTGGTGGAGCAAAGTGCAGAGGGGGGCAGGAAGTTTCAACAATGGCAGTTGCTCGACACCGGAGAGAAACTGACGGCGTGCGAAGAGGAAGATGAGTTTATAACACTTCCTAGAGGCAGACTGGAGGAGATCAGAGTAAGAGAGAAGGTGGATGAGGAAGGGAATTGGGAGGCGGTACTTTGGAACGCGGGCATACCTGTGGCCGATCTTAAGGCGGACCCAGACCGGTGGGCATGGAGAAGCAGAGGGCATCGGGGGGAACATGTTCGGCTGGATGATTTCATGCTGAAGCTGGCCTACGAAGTGCAGGCCCCATTACGTACACCTCTGATGACGGCAACCCAGAGATGGAGCAGAGTTATCCCAGAGGACACAGAGAAAATCAGCCGAGCCCTTCAAAAGTGTTGGGAATAACTAGTGGATGCCCCAAACCCAAGAGCTGCAGCATTGTTGTGGTTGGCCTTGCTCCTAGCCACCCCTTCGGCAGTATGGCTTATGAGCATAGGGATGGAAGTGGACGCTCAGTGTAAAAGATGCAGGTGGTCATTTGAGTCGCCGATCCACATTTGGTGGGCCTGCCCCGCCTCGAAAAGGATATGGGAATGGTGGTCAGAGCAGTGGGATGGCTGGACAGGCGGAGTACTCAAGTGGGACAAAGAGTGGGTGCTCCTGGGCAGACTCCCTGATTCCCTACAGCTGGGTAAGGGATGGGGGTACGTCGGTCAGGCAATTCGGGCGGTGGGCTTTTGGATAATCTGGAAGGAACGAAATCGAACATTGTTCGAGAGGAAGATTATGCCAGACCCAGAAATCAAGGCATCCTTCAAAATCATGATTCGTAGGATGCTGGCAGCAGATTGGAGAAGGAAGACAGTCTCAAGACGGAGAGATTGAACGACAGGCAGAAGATGGTTTCTGGATACATGGGCACAAGGTGGAAAAATGGTTACTGTAGGGGAGAATGGAAAGTTGAGTTTCTCAGATTGGTTAATCAGCTAGGGGGAGAGTCACAAAGCCCTTTCAAAAATTGGGAATGGGATTTAAAACAAGCAGTAGTAGTGGGGAGAAATAGAGTAGGGAGAGTAGGACCTACCAGGCGCACTCGGTAGTATCCCTCCGCAGTAGGGGGAAAGAGGAGGGGGTCGGAGAGTGTCCAGGACTGTAGTGGACCCTGGGGTCCATCCTGTCGGAATAGGCAGGAGTTCACTGGGGGCATTACCCCAGAGTAGAAATAGGCAGCGTTGAGTTTAGGAGAATACCAAGGGACAGTAAACGTAGTGGTAGATAGATAAGGGAGTGAAGAGAAATGGGTGGATAATAGAACCAAGACAATTTGGAAGTTAAGTTGTTGGGCCTCGCCCACGAAGGTTCGCTGGACTGAGCTCCAGCAGGTCAAGTCTTTTTCGGGGTTGTTTGTGAGGAATTCCAGGCCTCAAAGTTCCGATTAAATGAATTCCTTGCTTTCCCCCCCCTCCCCCCCCCAAAAAAAAGAATGCATGAGCCAGTCGCGGCAGGCAACTCTCTTTTGTACTGTTGGCCGGCCTTGGCCGACCTTTTTTTTTTTTTTTTTTTTTTTTGGTTCCCCCTGGGGGGAATGGGCCGCGCCACGCTCCGCTGCAGTGCAATACGGAGGCGACGCTGGAAGGGTCAAGTAGGCGGTCGAGTAGGCAAGCCTATCCGTATGACCCCTCTGTAGCCCTGAAAAATTAATTTAATATCATGTGCCTCAATGGACCACAGATCAGATATTAAACCGATCAGAACAGAAACATTTCACTTGATCTTAGCCAAAAGGGGAGCCGACCTTGGCCGACCTCACTCTCTTTCTTTCTTTCTTTCTCTTTTTTTTTTTTTTTTTTTTTTTTTTTTTTTTTNTTTCTCTTTTTTTTTTTTTTTTTTTTTTTTTTTTTTTTTTTAACCCCGCAGATGGATGGCTCCAGTCTACTCTGCCTCCCTTTATGGCCGAGATTTCCCGACTTGGACGGCCCAGATTTACTGGCAGCTAGTGTTTGCCTGGACCACTTTGGGCCTCTTGGATACTTGTGGAAGAATAAGTACAGGCTTTGAAATGCATCAGATCTATGACGATTTATTTTTTGTGTTAAAAAGAAAAAGAAAAAAAAAGACTAGTGAGAAATATCTGACTCGCTGACTGTTTGACTGCTTTTCCCGGGTTGGGACTGACTCCAGATTATTTGACTGCATCTGGACCGGTCATTTTAGCTGTAGTGAGGGCAGCTTTCAGTCCAGATGCAGCGAGAATGACCCTGCGTTTTACTCGGGGGGAAGACCGTAGTGGCACGGGTTACCTCTTTTGACCCTTGACCCTGTACCTGTTGACCAAATGACTTTTCTGCAACCTCTTTGGGGCAAGAGACGTAAATGATTTTATGGCTGAATTTAGGGCAGCTTTCAGTCCAGATGGAGCGATAACGGCCAGGCGTTTTATTCTGGGGAAGACGGTAGTGGCACGGGTTACCTCTTTTGACCCTTGACCCTGTACCTGCTGACCAGAGAACTTTTCTGCGATCCCTTTGAGGCAAGGGACGTAAATTTGGACCCCTGAAGCCGGACTTCGACCAAAAGTGACCACGCTGGACTGTGTCTGTGCACATTTTTGACTGGGTTCTTTGCACAGGAGAATATGTCAGACTTGGGGGATTCGAAAGACTTGGGAGGAAGGGGGGGGAAAAAGACGTGGGAGGAGTACCTCTGATTGGTAATAGCAGGGTCCTTGGGTAATAGCAGGGTCCTTGGCCAACACGGGTGTGAGTGTGAGTGTGAGTGTGAGTGGGTTGTGTGTGGTGTGTGGGAGAGCGTTGGCGGTAGACACTGCTGTTATTCGGTTGGGGGTGGGGGACGATGAAAAGGGAGGCGCAGCTAGCTGCTGGCAAAATGTTCGGTCTTTGCGTTATAGCCGGACCCCCACCGGCGGCCCCAGCCCATCCTTGACCACCATGGTTCGGGAGGGGGAGGGGGGGGGGGCAACATGCATCGCCTCTGATGGCTGGAGGAAGACAACAAAGCTATGTTCACAGGGGTCCCCTGTCGGCATAAGCCTTAGGAGTAGTGGTAGGTAGGTAATGCAGGTGAATTGAAAGAATTTGAAAGATGACGAAAGATTTGAGAGAATAATATAGAAAGACATGTCCTGTTCAGCGGTCTGGCCCCCTTGATCCTAACAGAGGGCTGAGATTCATGTGTCTGAGCAGTTGAGATGTGGGGGCCCAGATCTGAGACCTACCTGGAGCTACCAGTAGTAGGCCCGCCCTGGATGCATTTGAAAGCCCCTTTCTTTTGAGCCTTTGGATTTGTTTGCGATTTATATATGGCTTGGTCAACTCTTTTTTTTTTTTTTTTTTTTTTAAATGAGGTCCAGTGGACCACGGATCAGATATTAAACTGATATAAGAACAGGTACTACACTTGGACAAGCCTTTGACTTTTTTTTGGTCAGCTGGATCAGGTGAAGCCTGACTGTTGAGTTTTCTTGGGGCTAAAGAAGTGTTGTTGGCTTCTCCAGCCTTGTGGGGGATAGTCTGGATGCCATGCCTGGATGCTATTGACCTCAGGAGTTCTTTTTTTTTTTTTTTTTTTGAGTCTGTGTATTTAAACAGTCATCCATTCAGCGAATATTGGTTGTAATTGAATAGCTGTATTGGAGAACATAGCTTGTGGACGCCGTAACGCACGCATAGTATCCTTATGATACATATATAAACCCTAAACTCTGAAAACCTAAGCAGCTACATGCCCAATTTAAGTGAGGTATCCGTACGTGTTTACTGATCAACGTGGTTGCTTTAGGGCATCAGGCCCCACCGTGCACGCATGGCCTCGAATAGGGACCCTCGGCCTCGAGAACGAAGTCCCATAACCACTACAACCCTTGGAAGTGTTATTTATAAAACTGGATGCATACGAGTTGTGATATCCAGCCCAACCCCAGGGCTGCAGCGTCCTTTGAATGCACACACGGCCTTGAATCAACACCCTCAGCCTCAAGAACGCGGCCTTGAATCAACACCCTCAGCCTCAAGAACGAAGTCTCGTAACCACAACAACCCACCCTCGGAGATGTTACATATAAAACTGGATCCATACCGGTCGTGATATCCAGCCCACCCCCAGGGCTGCAGCGTCCTTTGAATGCACACCACACACAACACGCACCACACGGCAATCAAACGGACAAGGCAATCAAACGGACAAGGCAATCAAACGGCCACAGAAAGCAAACGGACACGGCTGTCGTAACGGCACCAACTGGCCACCCGCAGTTGGCCTACTGGTAGGGCAACTTGGGTTGGCCGACCGGGTACAGCCCACCCCCAGGGCTGCAGCGTCCTTTGAATGCACGCCTCACACAGCACGCACCACACGGCTTTCAGACGGACACTCCGCTCAAACGAACAGGGCAATCAAACGGACACTCCGCTCAAAACGGCACACAACACGCACCACACGGCAATCAACGGCCACCGCAATCAAAATGGCACCGCTACTTAACCTGGTCACTCCAAGTGGGCCAAGGTTGCTCGAATGAATGAACTTAGAATCATGGGGTAACTGCAGAAATACTAGGGCGTTTTCAAAATTTCCCCGCGGAAATGTTGTCAGGGTCTGAAAGAAAGGTACTTACATTGTGGAACGGAAGTGGGTCCCTGGACGGCCTCAAATGATGTTTGCTGTGAAGTGAAACGGCCGGGGAACCTGTAAAGCTGCAACGAAGAAATATGTATTGTGGCGAAGAAACCTGGGGACCGCCGCTAACTTTGCTGTGAAGCTACCGCGAACGTGGGATTTTTGAAACTTACCCTAGATTCATCGATTTCAGTCGATGGAGAAGTGTCTTTACTACGCCAGCTTTGGCTGGATTTAGGGCTGGACGCCACAGGCCCACTGTAGCTTTGCACCTGGAAAACATCCGCCCAGCACAAATCGTAGCCGCCGGGAATGGGCAAGAGAAAAGGGACTCCACCGCCACAGCAGATTTTCCTCCGGGCGGGGTTAGGTTACCAGATTAGGAAGACTTGCCCATTCAGGCAAGTGTCCCTCCTCTCCTCTTTTTCAGCACAACGTCCAATCCCTGTGCCTCCTTTCCGCACGGCATGGCTGACTCAAGAGGTGGGCCTGGGGGCTACCATCTTCTTTTGGCACAATATTTCGGAAATTGGAGTGCCACGGAGGAATTTCCCATCATACAAAAAAAAATAAAAAAATTCACATCATGACGCTCTGTGGAAACGTCCGCCCAAAGTTTTCCTGGCCGCTCCCTGCGGCCTGTGGGGTGTGAAAAAACCCCTCTGCGCCAATCAATCCATACGCTTTTCCGCACGCCTGTGGGGTCCATACCTTAGGCTCGCGAGAGTTCCAATGCAAGAGCCGAATAACGAGTGTGTAACCGCAACTGATGCAGCTGGATGGGTTGGGTTGCCTCATGGCAGAAAACTAGGTAGCATTTGCAGAATTATATGAAGCAAAAAAAAAAAAAGGAAAGATCATAATTGGATTTTTGAGCCAGACACACACACACCTGAGAGGAAAAGTCAATTGTTTGACGGTAGAACTGGAGAAAGTTTTGAGAATGCAATTGCAGTTGGAAAAGGATACATAATATCTATTATAGATTTTTGTTATATTTCTATATTGAATTTCATTACCGTTTTAAAATTTTAATACTTTTTATTAATAATTCCCTATTATGTATATGTTTCATATTCTATTTTATTGTTACCAACTGAGCTAGGCCCGTTCTTTGTTTTTTTTTGTTTTTTTTTTGGATGCGTCTCTTCCACCTCTTGGCCAAGAGAGAGAGAGAGAGAGAGAGAGAGAGAGAGAGAGAGAGAGAATTTTCTAGAAAAAGGGTAGAAGTTTGGACACTTGACCAAGGCAGGATAAGCTCTGAGAGATGGGATGGTATACATCTATTACATAAGATGCCATCATCAACTGGCGCACCCCAATATGGTGAGAAAAGGGTTCATTCAGTCAGAAGAATGTTCTAAAATGACCCTAAGATGTGAAGCCAAACAAAATGGCTAAAAAAAAAAAAAAAAAAAAAAAGCCGAAGCTGCCTTCTTTAGGGTGGTACAACATGGGTGTATCACTTTGTTTTTTTTCACAATGGTCCTTCACTTTGTTTTTTTCCCCAATGCATTCACTTTGCTTTTCTGTCCGTTTCACGTCTTTGGGAAGAGGGGACAAAAAAAAAAGAAGAAGCTGAAAGGTTGTGGAAACAATCAATGTAGAACAAACCTGAAGTGGCTTTCCCATTTCTGTATTTAGTTACTTTGATTAATTAATAGAAGGGATAATTTCCAAAATACCCCCATAAGTTGAGATACATGCCAAAATGCCCCTAAAAGACGTGGATTGGCCCTCTGACAAAAAAAGTATATATATATTTTGTGAAATACCCCTGGCGTCGGTTGGACGCCCATCTTTGCAATATACCCCTACCGGTTACCGCCCAACTTTGCAAAATACCCCTACCTGGTACTTGCCAACTTTTCCTAGGCGCTATTCCGAAAGGCCAAGACCCAAACGGGGAGGTCCAGATTTTCGAAGTTGCGCACCTTCCCCTGTCAGGGGCACAACACAAAAGATTTTGGCCCAAAAGGGCATTCCGCTCTACCCACACATCTTTTAGGGGCATTTTGGCATATATCTCAACTTATGAGGGTATTTTGCAAATTACCCCTTAATACAATTTAAATTTTAAACTTATATTTATTATTTAATATACTAGTAAATTAGTAATACTATATATATATATTATATATCTGATTCAGCCTCTTGGCCATGGTTCCATCCCTCGTCCTTGTCCTCTGGCTGACAGCATGCCGATGGTCACCCCAGCAAGTTGGGGAGAGGATAAACCAGGGAGTATTAACCGGGGAGGGGTGCATCAGAACAAGAAGAATTGGGACGGGAATACCTCTGAGGTGCCGCGACTCCTGTGGCTGCAAAGCTGTCTCGTCCGCCGTCTTCGGCGAGAGGTGCTTATCTCCTTCGCTGCCATGCCGTGTTGTTGAGCTCACGCGCAAACAGCGGCAAAGAAGAAGAAACATATTGCAAGCATTGAAGGAGGAGACAAGTGAGAAGAGCGCAAAGGAAGATGTGGATGAATACACTCGGAAGTTCGGATTAGAGGCGGGGCTTTGGAAGGTGAGAGAACCATCCATCCACCTGGACCTAACAGTCATAACCTTGCCCAACCTTGAGCTTGTGATAATATTATAGATCGAAAAGCCCAAGCGCGCGCATGAGAGAGAGAGAGAGAGAGAGAGAGAGAGAGAGAGAGAGAGAGAGAGAGAGAGAGAGAGAGAGAGAGAGAGAGAGCAATCCAACTTGTCTTTTAATGTGGCATCACAGTGTGTAACCTTATGTCTGTGTGTGTGTGTGTCACACACACACACACACACAGAGAGAGAGCTGTCTCTTATACACATCTAGATGTGTATAAGAGACAGCCTCCTCTCTCTCTCTCACTCTTTTCTGTTAAATNAGAGAGAGAGAGAGAGAGAGAGAGAGAGAGAGAGAGAGAGAGAGAGAGAGAGAGAGAGAGAGAGAGAGAGAGAGAGCAGCAGCAGCGAAAAAGAATGTCAGATGGTGGGGAGGGAGAGAGAGAGAAGGGCATACAAGTGGCTCTATTGTTTGCCTTTTGTCACTTTTCTACATGGTCATTGCATGTAATGCACACTTAGAGAGCTCACTGCATAATCTGGATGACATTTGTCCAGTCACTCCAGTGCGGCACCCTGCGCATTTTGACTGGAATTATGCACTGCAATTTCATTTGGTCTGATGGCTTTAAGAAAAAGCCTATTTCTCAAAAGAAAAGAAAAACAATACAAAAGGGGGATAACGGTAACCTCAATCACTCTGGTATTCATCAGGACTCGAACTCCTGATCCGTTTTTCACCAGTCGCAGGAGAGGCAGGTATTCATGTCGAATTGTTGAGCTTTAAAGGCTTGCCTGTCTTGTTGAGCTTTAAAGGCTTGCCTGCACCATTCAGCCATGAGGCAGGCAAGCCTATAAAGCTCAACAATAGTTTCACAACACTCTTCCCCTTACCTCCCCCCACCCCACCCCGTCGTCCTTTTTCTCCACCCCCCCCCCCCCACCCCTCCCCCCCTTTCCACCTCACCCCGTTGTCCTTCGTGCACGTCATTCATCAATGAAGTATGTATTTTGGAGACATTACTGTCGATCCGTTTTGTGAAGTGTTTATCATTGTTTTGCTTTTTCGTCGTTTGATCGTGAATTGGACTGAGCTGTTAATGCAGGTATTCACGTCGAAAGAGGACGCGTCTGGAGATGGCAAACCCGAAAAGAAGAATCAGGCAAAAGAATTACTTGCACGATATGGAGGGGCGTATCTTGCGACTTCGATATCCCTGTCCTTGGTGTCGATTACCGTCTGCTATGCGCTGATCAATGCGGGAGTGGATGTCGCCAGCCTGCTTGCTAAGGTAGGTGATTATAATTCATGTAGCATCTGCGCCCCCGAACACAGCGAAGCCTCATTTTGGCTGCTGCACCAGACCAGAAAGATAGCTTGTATGCATTCGGTATCAGGGTGTGTTATATTCCGGGGAAGACTGTAGGGAGAAAGGCATTTGCAGCAAGCTTGTCAGGGTGTGTACGCGTACTCTCCTGCAAAAACATTCGTGGCCCCCTTTTTTTTTTTTTTTTTTTTCCCTTAAATGGCTAATTCTTGTACGCCTCCTTGTTTTTTTTCCCATCCTCCCGAGTTTCACGAAAAGTAAGGAATATAAAAGGAAATGCACAAATGCCCACCCTCTTCACCCGAATAGAACGCCCGGTCATTATGGCTGCATCTGGACTGAAAGTTGTCCCAAATACGGTTATAATGACCGGGCGTCCTATTCCGGGTGAAAAAAGGGTGATTGTGGCCCTGCCCTTTGTACACACCGCCCATCGCTCCTGACCCGATGGAATGCATGGTCCAGAGGAGGTGGACAAAGGGAAGGTGGCTCACCTGGAGCGGGCGGGCGATGGTGCGTGGGGTTGCACTGGACGACGTCAGAGTTCGGCAACGGCAACACCGAACTCCGGTGACAGCGTGCGGAAGAGGGCCCCAGGGCTCCCGATTTCGAATTTGAAAATGGCCCAATCTGGGCCGTCGATCTCGCAGATCTGACGGCCCAGATTGGGCCGTTTTTTTTCCGCTTTTGGAGACCCTATGGGCCTCCAACAAGTCCCTGTCCAAGCACATCCCTTTCCCCCCCCTCTTTTTTTTTTTTTTTTTTTGATTGGACGTAGGGCCCCCTGCGGACGGCCTTGAAGGAGGACTTATCTTCCGGACCCTGCAAGACTTTGACTCGTACACGTCAGCCAGACAGAAGACGGCGGTAATTGCAAGTACGATGTGCAGAATGAGACGGGACGGATGACGTCATCAGACGATTTGGTTGGACTAGGCTTACTGACCCTGAAAGCGACAGCTTCGCATGCAGGGATACCCGAGGGAGATGTTTAACGAGTTAACGAGTGTCTGATAAAATTCATTAAGGAGAGAGCCCCCTCCTGGAAAAAGTGGGGTCATAGGCTGTGTAGCTGGTGATGGAGAAGGGTGGGTCAATTCGTCCTGCAATAAGGGGAAAGGAGGGGTACTAGTCACCAAGCCGTGTCATCTACCAGTCATTATCCCTGTATTTGGGGCAATATTCAGTCCAGATGTGGCGATAATTACCCGGGAGCAGCACCTCGCACGATCTAGAATTGCACGGCTGATCACACAAACAACCTCACTGTACAGGGACGCTGGACCCCATTTCCCGCAGGTGCTGCTCCCCACCAATAGATGGAGCCTCCCCGACAGTGATAGTGGTGCCTGCTCCTATCAGCACCCCAAGCACTAGGCCGGGCTATTCATCCGCAAAAAAAAAAAAAAAAAAAAAAAAAAAAAAAAAAAAAAAAAACTTTGTTAAGGGACAGACGGTAAAACGGCAGGACCGGACCTTCTGGACACATTTTTTTGGGGACTCCCGGGACTCGTTGACAGGCCCGGGTCTGACAAAAAAATCAGCAGACCTTCGAGAAACGACGGTTCATTGAATCGGGTAAGGAATGGGACAGGAGAAAACACCGCATAGGAAATGGGAATGGTACCGGGTACTACCGTCTTCACCCGAATAGAACGCCCGGTCATTATCGCCGCATCTGGACTGCATATTGCCCCAAATACAGGGATAATGACCAGGTGCTCTCCATTTATGTGTGTCATCCTTGCGCAGGGGCCATGCTAATCTTCTCTGTATCGATCCAATTTTAACCGATGTCCCCAGGTGAAGACGGTAGTTTAGTCCTCTTGGGTTAGAAGAACCGTGGCTGGTTAGTCTAATCGATTTGTACTTATAGCCTTTTTATAGGACAACCAGAACGTCAATAGTATCTCGAAAGCTACCCCCTGATGAGGCTGCAGCTGGCGGCGGCTGAAACTAGTCGGGGAATATGCCAGTCTTCTTCATCTTCCGGCGACTTCTTGACGTTTTTGACGACGAGGACGGGGATGAGAAAGCCATAGCTTGTCTGTGGCTGGTCTCTTGTCTTGTTGGCTTATCTTAAGAGACAGACCTGTTTCGAGATTCTTCACATATTGTTTGCTATCTCGTGCATGACAGCGCACGTGTGTTCTCGCACTCGAGTCAGAGTTTGTTTGACTTTGCTTATCTTCATCGGACAGCCGACCGGTTGTCCGCTCAGACATTCCCGGGCGGTCAGGGGGGTCCCGGACGTCCGATCTGGTAACGTAGCTATTTCTGCAATTACCCCTGACCGCCTGGGAATCACCCTCAATTACCCCTGACCGCCCATGCCATATCATTGCCACAGCTGTAACTGGAAGAGAAACCTGACTGAGGGGGACACGCTATATCACCCTCTGACGAGTTGGCGGCCCTCCAGGGCTATATATATATATATACAGTTTGTCACAGCCCCTCGTTTGTTGTCCTCTTCTCTCTCTCTGCCTACGGTTTACCGGGCAGTTCTGTTTGTGACGATATATATATATACAGCCCCTCGTTTGTTGTCCTCTTCTCCCTCTCTGCCTACGGTTTACCGGGCAGTTCTATTTGACGATATATATATATATATATATATATATCATTGACAACATATAGCAATTTGGCATATCACCCTCTGACGATTCGGGGGCCCTCCAGGGCTATCATATATTGTCAGTTTGTCAGAGTGAACTGCCCGGCAAGCGATCGTCAGAACTGTAGAAAAGAGCGAAAAGCCGCGAAAGCCATGGGGCTGTGACAGACGGTTTCATTGGGATTTTTTTCACTAAGGGCCGCCAAGTCCTCAAGAGGGTGAACCCTTGATGGAGGGTTGTAACCAAAGCCCTTAAGTTGGGGTGGGGCCTCAAATTTTACAACAATAAGGGGGGTTGGTTCCGTTGCTAACTAAACGTACACCGAGGCTGCCAGAGTGGCCCGGGGGACCTTGCCCGGCTGGGCCAAAAAAAGAAAAAGAAAAATTGGTAAGGAATTCCGAATTTCGATGTGACGCTGAGGCAAAAGTTGTTCGGTTTATTTTTCTGCATCACATAGGGTTTTTTTTGTTTTTTTTTTACATTTCCAGTTTTTTTTTTTTTTTTCGAGTTACTGCCGCCGTTTACTGGGGCTTCCATTCGAAGCTTATGTCACTTCTCCTTTTCACCTTCCAGCACCGGGCAGGTGTCAGACTCTATACATCGTGTTACCACTTGGCAGAGTCCTGTGTTTTTAATAAACTGTCGCTCGTTTTACTTATTCCTAACTCGAAAATACGGTTGATACGAAGTATTGCCTTTTGCACCTCTTTGATCACTTTTTTATACTCTCTGTTGTTTTGGATACAATTTGAGAATTCTACAGCTAAATTCCAATTTGTTGAAACAATACGATGGCTTCCTTACTCAAATATCAATTTTTATACAGGTCTAGATGGGATTTCTTTATTCTTTGTGGTGTTGACTACGTTCTTAATACCTATTTGCATGTTTTTTTTTTTTTTTTTTTTTTTGCTGGGCCCTTCCGTGGTCCTTGCACGGCCGGGCTGCCCAGTCAAACAAGGTGACCCGGGCTGTCCAGTCAAACAAGGTGACCCGGGCGGCCCGGCTGGTAGCCCAGAGTATTATACACCAAATTCTCCTTTGGGTGCTTCTACACAGGTGTGCATAGAAGAAGCTGGTACAGACACACCCTCCGTGTAAAGCTTTTTTTTTTTTGTTTTGTTTTTTTTTTTTTTTTTTTTTTTTTTTTTTTTTTTTTTTTTTTTTTTTTTTTTTTTTTTTTTTTTTTTTTTGTTTTTTTTTGTTTGTTTGTTTGGGGGGGGGGACAATTTGCTCCAATCTATTCGTGGGGAGCAGCACGTGCTGGAAACCGGGTCCAGCGTCCCACATGAATTATTACACAACATATGAGGTGCTGGGGCGAGGTCAGCTATGGATGATGTTGGTCTGGTCAGTACTGTCTTTGAGTAGTAATGTCCGGGTATAGGGAGGGCTAGGAGTTGCTCTATGTTTAGGAAGATGGAATGGCTGATATAGCATAGTGTTCAATTTTTTAGTTCTTCCTCGAAAAAAGGTTCCCTCCGTGTAAAGCTTAAAGTTATGAATTAAGGATTCCATGGATTGTCTCATTTGAGAGCGTGAAGGAGGACAAAGTTTACGAGCTGCTAATCCACACACTGAGGGCATACTCACACTACCACTTCGCTAAATGTATCTGACCACAATTATGGCCGGGGCCTGGATGAATCTGGCCACAATTACGTCCAGAGCTTAGTAGGAAAAGTCCTAGCATAGAATTGTTGGTATTTTTGGTACTCTTTGTCCGCATCCCGGTTGGTTTTGTCTTGTTGTTCGGCCCACGTGGCGGTGTTTTCATGTGGGACTTGTCATCCGTTTTTTTTCCCCTTTCGGCATCCTAGTTGGCTGGTTCCCGTTGTTTGGCCTATCCAAGGGGGGCGGTGCTTTTAGGTGGGAATTGTCATCTGGGATTGTCTTTATGTATATTTTTTGCAGGCAAGGGTGTTGATTGCTATCCTGGTTGGTCATTGTCCCGTTGTTTGGCCTGTGACGTAGGGGGCGATGCTTGCATGTGGGACTTGTCATCTAGGATCTGTTATGTGTGTTTTTTGGCACCCTTGCCTGCATCCCGGTTGGTTCTGTCCCGTTGTTCGGTCTATTTTGGCGAGCGTAGCGGTGCTTTCATGTGCGACCAGTCATCCCGTTTTTTTTGTTGTTCAGCCTATGAGAGCATGAATAGTTTAGGAATGGGAATACCCACGTCTTGATGATGAATAAGGCCATCTGCTGTATATAGTTTTGTTTTTGTTTTTGTTTTTGTTTTGTTTTTGCAGACAAGAGTTTTGCCCTGGGTGGTCTTGTCCCGTCGTTTGGCCTGTGAAGGAGGGGCGGTGCTTGCATGTGGGACTTGTCATCTAGGATCCGGTTTTGGTGCTGTTTCTTGTTGCCCCCTGTTTTGTTGTACCTGGCTGTTCCCTTCCTCTTTTCTTTGCCTCTTTGCCCTTTGGCTGTGTGCAAGTGGGTGGATATGACACACGGGGGTGGGGGCAGCCGCCACTCAACCTACATCCACGTGGGCGGCCTTGTACAGCTTGAGGTGACTGTTCCTACCAGCACCTCAAGCTGCTTCCAAGGTGGTCTTGTTAAAAAAAAAAAAAAAAAAAAAAAACCAAAAAAAACGCAAGAGGTTCTGAACAGGGGGAGTTGTAAGTAAGAAGATAAAAAAGGAATTGATACCTTCTTTGTTTCCTTTTGTGTTTTTTTTTCGCTTTTGCGCTCTGATAACTTTGTGACGATATATATATACTTAAATTATTATCAATCTATCTCTCCGACGAAACAGTTTGTCACAGCCCCTCGTTTGTTGTCCTCTTCTCCCTCTCTGCCTACGGTTTACCGGCCAGTTCTATTTGACGATGGATGTTTTGCTGGCTTGTGATGGGGTGTGAACCGACAGTCTGTAGAGTTTTCCATCTGGTGTGGGTGAGTGATAGTCTACTTTGATTTTGGTTAAGGTAGATTATCATTTACAGTGTAATCAGTGAGGGGATTCTGCAGACTGTTGAGGGTTCAGCCTCCTGATGAGTCGGTGAAACTCCAACGAAACAGTTTGTCACAGCCCCTCGTTTGTTGTCCTCTTCTCTCTCTCTGCCTACGGTTTACCGGGCAGTTCTGTTTGTGACGATACAGGTTGTCACAGCCCCTCGTTTGTTGTCCTCTTCTCTCTCTCTGCCTACGGTTTACCGGGCAGTTCTGTTTGTGACGATATATATGTGACAATATATATATATGTTGAGGGTTCAGCCTCCTGATGAGTCGGTGAAACTCCGACGAAACAGTTTGTCACAGCCCCTTGTTTGTTGTCCTCTTCATAGATATATATATATATATATATCATCACAAACAGAACTGCCCGGTAAACCGTAGGCAGAGAGAGAGAAGAGGACAACAAACGAGGGGCTGTGACAAACTGTTTCGTCAGGAGGCTGAACCCTCAACAGTCTGCAGAATCCCCTAACTGATTACACTGTAAGTGATAATCCACCTTAACCCCGGTTGTGGTTAAGCATCAATGACTGCCCGACAACTGCTGATACCCCTCTGAGGTGGTGGGGACCACCAACCACTGCCCTCAAGGTACCCGTGACGAAAATCAAAGCAGACTATCACTCACCCACACCAGATGGAAAACTCTACAGACTGTCGGTTCACACCCCATTACAAGCCAGCAAAACACCCACGAGACAAAGAAAGGTCTGTCACAGCCAAAAAATACACTCCAGACACGCCGCTGGCACTAGAGGCACAGCATGGCCGCGTAGTGACGGCCCCGACCATATATATTGTCTCATAGGGGAAACTACGCGGGAATCACAAAAACGAGTTATAATAGCCGTATGGGCCAAGATACAGTTTGCAATTGCAGTTCGGGCAATGTATACAACCCAGCTTTCTGGCCAGGTACTGTGCCCGAACTGCAATTGCAAACTGTATCTTGGCCCATAGTGCAAATATAATTTATAACTCGTTCTTGTGACTCCCGCGTAATTACCCCTATTGCATAAAATTTGATAAAAATATTAAAAAAATAAAAATACACAAGCCAGACATGAAGAGCACACCCGAAACCATTCTTGTGTGTCCTTGTATACAATCCTTCCTTCCTTTTTTTTTTTTTTTTTTTTTTTTTTTAATTTTTAATTTGGACCATTTCTCGATTTATGCGTGTCATCCTTGCGAAGGGGCCATTTGCTAATCTTCTCTGTATCGTTCCAATTTTAACGGATGTCCCAAAGGACTCCCTTCCTCTTTTCTCACCGTTGCTACACATGTTATGCAGGTGGTGTCACGACAGCACAGTCTGAGGACAGAGTCATTATATTATATGGCTTTAAACTTTAAAGTTTAAAGCACCAGTACACGGCCCCAGCCTTGCAACAAAACATTTTGTCGCACAACAACCTCATTCTTGCGGCTGGGGCCTATGGGACCACCACAATGGCTGGCGCCACCAGCCAAAAAAGGAAAGAAGTGCCACCACTGGCAGTTCGGAAAGTGCGCCGCTGGCGGCTCGGAAAAAAAAGGCCCACTCCGGGTTTACTGGTGGTTTAAACCGCTACCGTCTTCACCCGAATAGAACGCCGGTCATTATAGCTGTATTTGGCACAACTTTCGGTCCAGATGCAGCGGGCGTTCTATTCGGGTGAAGACGGTAGTACACGGCCCCAGGCAACTTGAGAACACAGAGGACTCACTCCTAAACTTTCTGAAGTCCCGGGGCTGCTGGCCCCCCCCCCCCCAAAAAAAAAAAAGACTGCAATGGCTGGCGGCGCCAGCCCAGCCCCCCCCCCCCAAAAAAAAAGCACAAGTGCGCTTCTGGCTGTTTGGCAAAGCTTGGCGACTCGCAGTGCGAGTGCAAGTCCACGAGGGTCAGGTGTGCTGGTGGTTTGGTGAACACATAACCACGGACTCGCACTGCGCCCCGCGGGGGAATCTGGATATTGCTGTAGGGCTCAGATCCCCCCTTTGGGCGCAGTGCTGGAGAGAGTTCAAGGGAGACCCTGTGCAGGTTGGATGTGCACAGTTTATCTTTCCCCTTTGCTCCCTCCCACCTGCCCCTGCCCCTTCCCCCCTCGTTTCCATCTATTATTGAGCACTGCATGATACGTTCTGTCTCCATAGCAGTTCACTCCTACGTCGTATCCACTGGCCAAAGTAGTGACATGACCTGTCGTTGTATTGGCGCGCTGGGAGAGAGATGTAGATTGTCCTGGTTTGTCAGTTAATCTTTTGATCACAGTAACTCTGCTGTGGCTTGCCAAGAGTTGTTAGCTGCGGATGATTCTGACCTGTGGACCTGTGTGCATCTGTGTGTCTTTGTTCGCGTGTGTGTGTGTTTGTTTGTGCCTCTCTCTCTCTCTCTCTCTCTCTCTCTCTCTCTCTCTCTCTCTCTCTCTCTCTCTCTCTCTC